CAAGATGATCACTGTAATTAAAACAATATTTAAAGACTAAAGTAAAATTTAAGAGCAAATTTAACATGGACCATAGCTTCCTTCACAACAATAATTGAACAAACTCTGATTCTACTGCTAACCGTCACACAGGACTTGGACAGTAATTAACTGTACTACAGTTACTACAGGTGCATATGCATCTTAGCATCTTGACTAAAAACTAACACAATCTAGCTCCCTTASCTTTTGCTAACTGTTCATAGGTTAAAGTTGTGATACAACACAATGTTCAGAAAAATAAAATTACTTCAGGGGTTGCCAAAACAAGAAGCAGAAACATTACATTTATATCACAAAATATCAATCTCTACACTGGTGATTTTGAATTACACTGAACTGAGCAGGGCATTTTCGACACATGCTACATGTTTAGCAATGTTGAAATAGAGCACAAGGTTGTTAAGCTAACAACATACACCGCTGTGCTCTGCTTGAGGTGCGAGGTGCTTTTCTGCACCACGGGAAATTAAAGTACAGGAACAGACCGTTATTTTAAAATATATACCTTTGTTGCTTTTGGTCTACCTAACCATAAAGAAATGCCTACCTGCTCTGCTGCAGAGCTGCTGGAGCCATCCTCCATCTTGAAAACACGCTTGCGCTACCCTTGCAGGACCTGCAGGTTCTGCACCAAAAGCCAAACCCATCTGTTCTCTGATTGGATAGTAAAATGTGTGATTGACAAGTCAATGGCCAATCAGCTGGAGGCAGAAAAACTTGGTCAGAATTCGAACTTGTAAAGTGAAACTCACATGCAAGTTTTGAACTTGAGCAGAGAGATTTACACGTAGCTTTTTGCTTTGTACCTGTAAATAGACCTTAACAAAAAAAGATTGTAACTTGTGTAAATATTTTTACAGTTACAAATATTATTTTTACAGATACAAATCTTATTTTTACAGATACAAATCTTATTTTTACAGATACGTCTTATTTTTACAGATACAAATCTATTTTACACAGACACATTCCTATTTACAAATCCGAAAGTTACAAATCTTAATCTACAAATACAAAGTCAGATTTACAAGTACAAATTATATTAGACTAAAATTTGTGCCCATAGTATTCCTGCCAGTCATCAAGACCAGATGATGGGAAACGTGTGTTCTCCAACAAACGCCGTGAGAAAACTTAATTTTTTTAACAAAAACACCAGTGTTGTATAAAGTACCACAAAGTGATACTTCAGTAAAAGTACAAGTATCGTACCAAAAAAATTACTTTGGTAAAAGTTTAAGTTTCCTTTAGGAATATTACTTGACTAAAAGTATGAAAGTTTCTGATATTTTTTGTACTTAAGTATTAAAAGTCAAAGTATTTATTTAAAATGAGCAGTTAGATTTTCTGTAAGGACATTTATTAGGAGGTGACCCCCCCCCCAAAAAAAAAAAAAAAACTGAAATAACTATATTGCATTAAAATAAGTAGTTGATGTTAAATTTAGGATGCACTAGTCCAGCTGTTTTAGTTTATATACATATATCAAGGCTGCACAAAGCTTTTCCCCAAAATGAAAATCTATCTGAGGGCTGCGGCCAAATGCAATTAATTCATGAAATACAAATACTTCTTAAGTACAGTCCTTTTATTTTAATAATTAGTTCCTGCTGGAGTGTGACATGATTTGTTTGTGTACAAACTAGGGGTGTAAGAAAATATTGATACACTGAAATATCGCGATATTTCATTTCCCGATACTGTATAGATATTCTAAAGTCCTGTATCGATTTTTAATTGAGGTTTAAAACGTCAACTTTCCTGCCAGCCGTTCATTTTATGTTGTAGTTCAGCCTCTGACCACTAGTTGGCAGCAGTGAGCCAGCCATTTGGCTCCTCTACCTCTTGAGCACCAGAGAGTAAGGGTAGCATTAGCATTTTGAGTAAATATTAGCTTCATGCTCCGATAGCTGAATCTGAGCAGAAAAGACCGACACCCTCTGCCTTCTAAGCTGAGGTAAGGTTACAGTTATTTATCAGAATGTCTGTATTTTAAGACAAATTAAGTGTCTCCTGCGCTCTTTTTTTCCAACTTTAGTCAGCCTTCACGTTACAGAAGGCTAGCGTATGTCTATGTAATAGAATTTTCTGAGACAATGAATTTTGGTTTTTCTTTTTTTTTTTCCATGTTTTTTTCAGTATGAGGTTTTTATTTAATAGAATTTTTGGACAAAAAAATCGCAATAAATCGCAATATATCGCCTTGCTTACAGTATCGCAATATATCGGGATATATCGTATCGTGAACCCTCTGTCATGATATGTATCGTATCGCCAAATTCTTGCCAATACACAGCCCTAGTACAAACTAATACGTATCAGAGTTTTATATATTCATACTTCTCATTCAACCACAGTTAAATTCACTCTATCTAGTAGGCACAGTTTATATGGATAGTATTTTTTTTTTTTTACAATAAGCTGGAATGAAAAAAAGCAAAAATAAAAGTAACGACTTTCTACTTCTTGCCTTTTTTTTTAAATGTATAGAGTAGAAAGTACAATTAATTGTGTGAAAATGTAAGAAGTAGAAGTAAAAAGTAGGCTGAAAAATAATTACTCAATAAAGTACAGATACCCAAAAATTCTACTTAAGTACAGTAAAGAAGTATTTGTACTTAGTTACTTTGCAACTCTGCAAAACACCTGAGTTCTCATGTGGCTCAGGTTCAGTCCCTCCACTGACAGGCAAATCAAATAATGTTAGTGAATCAAATTCATGATGCCCGCCACATCCATCAGACTAAATACATGAAACTCGGTCAGTTTTATAAATATGCTAAAAGTTTATGTGTGGTAGTCATTCTCTATCTCAACACAAATGGTGCAAAACCTTTGTTTAAAACATTTTTTGACTGGCTGAGAAAATTTGTTTATATTAAACTTTGTATACAGAAGAGTATATTAAATTAAAATTTTCTTGAGATTTTTTTGTTGCCATTTTTCTTGTAAAGGACAACCAGATTGTGTCAACAGGTTGTCTGCTGGAGAGCACATTTTGGTGCCAAAACATTTAAGTGCTTCTGATCTTTATTGAAAGGATAATAAACATTAATCTATTTTTCTTTTGACTTTGCAGGTGTTTGAGCTGTTACCTTAACCATGTGTTCAATTCCTGGACGTCCATCTCCAGGATTAGAGGCGTCTGTGCTCATCACTGGTGTGAACCTAAAGTCCAGCCATGGCCTACTGGAATTCTGGGTTAACACTGAAGATGGAAGAAAACACATTTATGAGCAAATGAGGGAGGAAATTCAAACTCCCCAGAGTAAGTTTAATGGATCAGAAGGAAAACCAGGCGACCTCTGCATAGTTTGCATTAATGACACGTGGAACAGAGCAAGAATTGTTTCAATCCAAGGTGAAACCTACAATGTTTTTCTAATTGATCAAGGACAGGCCCATTCCACTACAAGTGAAGCTTTAGCTTGGAGCAAGAGTGACAGTTTTCTTCTTCCTCCTGAAGTAGAGTCTTGTATACTTGCAAATGTCATCTTCCTTCAGAAGGAGTGGCCTGAAACCATCGCAAAGTTTTTGATGTGTTTGCCAGGGAAGAAGTTTAAAGGATTGGTTCAGGATGTACTTATGCCAGACAGAATCATTCTCCTTGAGATTCCAGTTCTTGCCAACTATATGTGTAAGCTCAAAGCTGCAAAGAAGATTGAAGTTGATCAGTTTCACAAATTGGTGAAGAAATGTCTTAAAGCAGTCAAAGAAGAGTTATCCGAGTCCTTCTGTTTGACAATGGAACCAGAGCTTGAAGTTAGTTGCAATATTGCCCAATGTGACCGTTACTTTTTTCCTGAACTAACAATGAACACTTATGAAATGGTTAGAGTGACTGAAGTAATTGATCCACTCAAAATCTTTTGCATGCTCCTCATATTTTCCAACTCAGTAAATCTGTTGTCTGAACAGATCCAGCAGCACTATGAAGAGGGCTCAGACTTTGGCCAAACACGACCACAGAGTTGCGGGGATCCATGTGCAGCCAAAGGGACAGATGGCAAATGGCACCGCTCTTTGCTAAAGCAAGACATTTTGACTGGTCAGGTTGCTATTGAGGATGATGTAGAAGTCTTTCATGTGGATGAAGGAAAAACAGAAATGGTGAAAGCAGAAAACATCAGACCGCTTCATGGAAAGTTCCTGAAAATGCCAGTCGTTACATATCTCTGTTCTCTGAACAAAAGAACACACACCAACAGAGAGGAGGCTGCAGACGAGACTGCTGATGTAAAATCAAAGCTCCTTAACCAAACAGTGGTGGTGAGGTTTGACCACTACAATGAACTTCAAGATATTTATTATATCACACTTCATGCAGGTAATGCTGCATGTGTGAAGGATATTTTACTTGGAAAAACTGTCCCCATTTTATTCTCAGAGTCAGAACAAAATGTAAATGTCCAAAATGATGCTTCATTGGTTCCTGTTTTGTTTGAGGGGAAAGAAGTCATGGACTTATGTTCTGAAACCAATGAAACTGATGGTTTACATGAAACTTGGCCAAGCACAAAACTACAAGTGGACAACAGTTGTGAAGACGACTCGTCTACTTCTGGCATTTGCAATAACTATGTCAAAGGAAACTCTCTTTCTGTTTCTCTACTACACAGTAATGGGGATCTTTCCTCAAGTCTACCCTCTGAAGTGCAGAATGCTTGTGATGATGGTGTGTTTGCTGTAGGAAAAACTGTTAACGTAAAAGTATCTTGCATTGAAAGTCCACAGAAGTTCTGGTGTCAAGCAACAGAAAGTGCTAATTCTTTAAGACAACTAATGGAAGACCTTCAAGCCCACTATGCGTCCGCTCACCCTCAGCCACTTGTGGATACTATCTGTGTTGCTCGTAACCCAGACAATAAAATGTGGTACAGAGCAAGGATTGTTGCAGGTCATGACATCCCTACTGTTGCTGTGAGATTTATAGATTATGGTCAAACTCAGAACATTCCTTTGCGAGATGTGCTCCCCATTGATCCAGTTTTCTTACATCTCGAAGCACAGGCTTTTCAGTGCTGCTTGTTCAGTCTGGAAAATTCCATTGAGTCCACTCCCAGTAGTTGGCCTGATGCTCAGCTGACTGAATTTCTGAAGTTTGTGAACCTGGGTACGTCATCAGATGCCGAGTTAAAATGTGTTGTGAAAGCTGTAACTTCTGATGAAGATGGTCTTCTGCTTAACTTGGTAGATATTCAAAGAGAATCAGAGAGTGTGTGCAAGCTCCTGGCTCAGAAATGTGCTCTATTTAAGGCCCAGGAGCAAGTATCTTCAGCAGTCTCTTTGGATGGATGCTGTTATTCCACTCACAGTACTGAGATAAGTGAGGAAGAGAAAGTACTGATAACCTCTTCAGAGACCGTGAATCATTTCTACTGCCAACTGCACAGGAATTCACATATTCTGGACAGACTGATGAAAAATATTGAAAAACTCCTCGACAAACCACAGGGCTCAGATCATCACACTCTTGAACTCAACAGCCTTTGCTTTGCAAGGCACACTAATAATCAGTGGTACAGAGGTCAGATTGTAGAAATGTCTCCAAAACTTAAAGTGCACTTTATTGATTATGGAGACACTCATCCTGTTCTTAAATCAGATATTTGCCCCTTTCCTTTAGAATCCAATGCTGTAAGGTGTGTTCCTGTGCAGGTAATTCCAATGGCATTATTTGATATGCCTGCAGACTTGCCACAAGACGTCAACCAGTGGTTTGCAGATTTTGCTGTTGGTCGTAGTTTTATGATTTCGGTTGTAGCACAGAGTGAAGAAGGAAAGTTAATTATTGAACTGTTTGATGGCCCCCTTAATGTAAACATGATGGTCAGAGAGAAAGTGGAAAAAATGAAGCTGGACAAGATGATATCCGTGAATCAAACCACTGACCAGCACCTTTCAAACAGCGCAAAAGCTGCTCTACCTAATGGGGGCTGCTCAACACAAGATCTCAATAGTGAATCAACACTGAACACAACTGAACAGAAAAAAGACACCAATAAAGACACTCCACCACAGATGGAACAAGAAGAGGATTTAGGAACAGTGGCAGAAACTTTCAGTCTGAGTTCTCACAGCAACTTAAAAATGGCTCCACAATCCAGTCATGCTTGTCCAGAAGTAAAGGGCAAGATCTACAGGTACAAGTGGCCCAGTGTTTCTCAAAACTTGACTGTTGATGCTTACGCTTCATGCATTGTGGGGCCAAATCATTTCTGGTGTCAGTACACCAGCACAGATGAGCTAAAAATTATATCAAAGTTTGCTGAAGGGTTTGGGCAAGATGTGGTTTCTCCTGAGGAGCTGGAACCTGGCAGTCCATGTCTGGCTTTATATTCCAGTAACAATTTGTGGTATAGAGCAGAGGTAATTAAGAAAACAGACGAAACAGTCAAGGTCCTGTTTGTTGATTATGGAAATGAGACAGAGATCAGTATAAGTAATGTAAAATCTCTGCCCTACAGCCTCCTTGAGATTCCTCCTCAGGCATTTCGATGCTGTTTAAATGGTTTTAATATGTCAAGTGGTTCCTGGGATGACAGAGTTCATGATGAATTCTCCAATCTTTTAGTCAACAAACAACTCAAAGTGACAATTGTTGATCTGGAAAATGATTCAGAGATTGCAATTCCTCAATATATAGTAAACATGGAGTGTGATAAACAAGTCATAAACAAAATAATGCAAAAATACTGGAAATCCTTTCCTGTGGAACTATTGGTGAACAATGTTTCCCAAACAAACATTTCACCCCCAAGTATTCAAACTGAAAGCAACATAAACTATGCTACTAGGGAAAATACAATTACTTCCATCTACCATGTACCAGAAATGTTTGAAAGTAAAACAAAAATGGTATATGCATCCTGTATTTCAGAACCAAATTTCTTCTGGTGTCAGTTTGCCAACACAGAGGATCTAAATAACGTGTCACAGCTTGCTCAGGAGGCTGGACAGACAGAAGAAGACTTGGTATTTTCCAGGAGACTTGGTCCTGGCATTCCATGTCTTGCTCTGTTTCCCAGTGATAACCAATGGTACAGAGCTCAGGTACGTCGTACAGATGAGGAAAAACTCCATGTCCTGTTTGTTGACTATGGAAATGAGTCTGAAGTGGACTTCAAGAATGTGAGACCTTTGACCCAGAGTCTCCTGGAGATGGCTCCTCAAGCCTTCCTGTGTTGTCTGAGTGGGTTTGAGTCCAAAGGATCCTGGGATGATAACGCTTGTGATGTCTTCTACAATTATCTGGTTGATAAACCCCTCAAACTGACCGTTTGTAACATGAGGGACCATTCAGAGACTGCAATTCCACAATATTCAGTGAAAATCAAACATGAAGGAATAAATATAAATGCAGCTATGCAGAAATACTGGAAACCAGTTACAGAAGAGACATCTAAAACAAAAAATCAAACAATCACTTCCCTCCATGTTGGTCCTGATCAAGCTGACCCACTATATCTTTGTGTGTCTAGCAAGACTTTACAGAAAACCGGCAAATTCAAAGAACTAGTGCTGTCCAAGGATCAGACAGAGATGGTATATGCATCCTGTATTTCAGAACCAAATTACTTCTGGTGTCAGTTTGCCAACACAGAGGATGTAAATAACGTGTCACAGCTTGCTCAGGAGGCTGGACAGACAGAACAGGACTTGGTATTTTCAAGAAGCCTTGGTCCTGGCAGTCSTTGTCTTGCTCTGTTTCCCAGTGACAACCAGTGGTACAGAGCTCAGGTACTTCGTACAGATGAAGAAAAACTCCATGTCCTCTTTGTTGACTATGGAAATGAGTCTGAAGCTGACTTCAAGAATGTGAGACCTTTGACACAGATTCTCCTGGAGATGACTCCTCAAGCCTTCCTATGTTGTCTGAGTGGATTTGATGAGTCCAAAGGATCCTGGGAGGATGAAGCTTATGATGTCTTCTACAATTTTCTYGTTGATYAACCCCTCAYACTYACCYTTMGWAYCATGYGGGACCATTCAGAGACTGCAATTCCTCAGTATTCTGTGGAAATCAAACYTGAAGGAATAAATATWAATGCAGCTATGCAGAAATACTGGAAACCAGTTACAGAGGAATCSMCTACAACYCAAAATKAAAAATCCACTTCCCTCKATGTTGGTCCTGARRACAATGACCCACAAAATCCTTGTGTGTCTAAAAAGACTTTACAAAAAAGTGTCCTATTCAAAGAACTAGTGCTGTCCAAGGATCAAACAGAGATGGTGTTTGCNCCACAAAATCCTTGTGTGTCTAAAAAGACTTTACAAAAAAGTGTCCTATTCAAAGAACTAGTGCTGTCCAAGGATCAAACAGAGATGGTGTTTGCATCCTGCATATCTGAACCATGTTTTTTCTGGTGTCAGTTTGCCAACACAGAGGATCTAAATAACGTGTCACAGCTTGCTCAGGAGGCTGGACAGACAGAAGAAGACTTGGTATTTTCTAGGAGCCTTGGTCCTGGCAGTCCATGTCTTGCTCTGTTTCCAAGTGACAACCAGTGGTACAGAGCTCAGGTACTTCATACAGATGAGGAAAAACTCCATGTCCTGTTTGTTGACTATGGAAATGAGTCTGAAGTAGACTTCAAGAATGTGAGACCTTTGACCCAGAGTCTCCTGGAGATAACTCCTCAAGCCTTCCTGTGTTGTCTGAGTGGATTTGATGAGTTCAAAGGATCCTGGGAGGATGAAGCTTATGATGTCTTCTACAATTGTCTGGTTGATAAACCCCTCAAACTGACCATTGGAAACACGAGGGACCATTTACAGACTGCAGTTCCTCAGTATTCTGTTAAAATAGAACAAGAAGGCATTGTTGTCAATATGTTGATGGAGAAATACTGGATAACAAGAACTTCGGAAACAGGTTAGTAGACACTAGTTTTATTAAACCAAATTAACAACTTAAGGCTTGTTTGGACTGACTCTGATCTTTTTTTCAGTGGACCAAGAAGAAAGCCTCACCATTGACAAGACACCTGGTATTTAAAATTACCATCTGTTTAAAGACAGGTAGGACTCTGTTTTCCACATCTCTTTCTTAAGCCCTTTCTCCACGAGCACGGTTCTACTCTATTCAGTTCGGATCAGTTCAGTTTTGTTTGGTTCTGCTCAGTGTGCATGTGTCCATTTTAGTGTGTCCCTCACTCTGTGGACGTGATTATGAGTGGACCGTCCACAGCAGCTTCATCTATTGTCAAAAAAAACGCCATTGGGGTCTTACCATTTGGACTTCACTTTTTATTATTTATTTGTTTATTTTATTTTTTGCGGTGCTGTTTATAAGTGCTTGTGTAATTGTGGGCGGCCAATTTGTTTGAAACCTCCCAGTATCTGCTCAGTTTTGTCTCCTTCACCTCTCTCCAGGAAGTGTTTCTAAGTTCTGCCTTTCCCAAGATTGCCAAAAATGTTAGACCATGGTTTTATCATAATGGGGCGGCTGTGGCAGAGCGGTTAGGGGAGTCGTCCTGGCGGTTCAATACCCTGTTCCAGCTGTCTCAGTTGTGTCCCCTGCTGGGCAAGACACTTCACCCCTAATGCCTCTGATGTGTGTCCCGTCAGTGTATGAATGTGATTGGCACTGATTAGTCTCCATAGTTGATTGTAGATCTCTAACGCTTTGTAGGAGATCTAGTAGAGTGCTGTGTGAATGGGTAAATAAGGGCACAGTTTGTAGTGTGAAGCACTTTGAGTATCCTGGTTCAAATCAAATCAAAGCTAAAAGTAGTCCAACAAAATAGTGTGTGATCTTTTTGCTAGTGGCTTGTGTGTGTTTATGTATGTGTGTGTGGCGGCCATCTTGGACAGTGTTGGCTATAAAAGTTATTTTGTTGTAGACATCAACCTAGCCTAGTCATTCCTTTTTGAGGGTTTTATTAAAACTGGTTCAGGAGGTATTGTGCGAAAAGTACAGAAAAATGAACACACAAACGTGGTTCAAAAATATTAATTCACCTTCAGAAGCAGATATTAAGATCAAATAATTTTATAAAAATATCAGATTTATTCCTAAAATTATATTTATATGAGCGTTATTTTTACTTTCCTAATTTTTATTTATTTATTTTCAGATCCATGCCTCTGGAGAAGCAACGCTGGGATTGACCCACCTTCGTTTTATTATCCATAGATTTATTTTTCTATGTCTAGATGAAAGTTTTTCATGAAATGAATGTGCATCAATAAAGATTTTGTGAATAATTTTGATTCCTCTTTTCCAAATTTATTAGAGAAGTTTGAACAGATAATATTCTAAATATCACCCTGAAGAGTTAAAGTAGATATTTTTACATGTCTATGTTCATATGAATATGCCTCACCACCATTTCATGAACCACAGTGTATATAATCTGGCAGAAAGTAATCATTGGAAGTAGATTTATAAATGATTAACTTCTTAGTCCAAGAGATAGACCATGTTTATCTGCATAAAACGTACCAGCAATTTTATTGGTACCACATTAAAGTACATCTCTTCCAGGTATTAAAAAAAAATTTCTTACAAAATTTATCCCGGACACAAAGTCAGAATTCAAGATTATTGCTAAAAATCATGGCTTTGTCAATGTCTTATCTGACCATAATTGCCAAATCTTTTGTTTCAGGTCTGTTTTTTTTTTTTTGGTACCAAAAATGTTAAAAACTGATTGCTTAGTTAAATCCAGGTAACTAATATTAAACTTATAAAGCCATTTACAGATGGCATCCACAAAAAGTGTCAACATTTGAGCTTTTTGTGAAAATCTGGTCATGCACTTTCCCCAGCTGTTCTGTCAGTATTTCCTTAACTGGCACCAAACTGCACCAAAGATATCTTCAGACACTCTATTAATTAAAAAAACATAAGATAATATGTACAATGTCATCTTTCTTCATTCTAGAAGCAAACAAATGACGCCAACCCTTTACATTATTGATATATGCCAAATTTCAAATATAGTACATATTATTGCCTTACTTCATATTTAAATCATACTTTACTGTTAAAAAGTATATTTGAAACCACTGGGTTGTTAATGTTAGTTGAATCGCATCCATCCATCCATTATTTTCTGCTTTATTCAAATTTGGGTTGCGTAGCAGCAGTTTGTGCAGGGAAGCAAAGACGTCTCTTTCCCCCAGCCAGCTCTTCTGGGAAGACTCCACTGTGTTCCCTTGCCAGCTAAGAGACAGTCTCTCCATTGTGTCCTGGCCTGGGTCTTCTTTGGGGTGTCCTCCCAGTTGGACATGCCTGAAGCACCTCTCTAGGGAGGTGTCCAGGAGTCACCCTGGGGTGGTTGTAGCTGAGTGGTTAGGGGAGTCGTCCTCTAAGAGATTTGGTTGGATTCCCATGTCACCAGTCCTCTGGTCCGAACTCCCACCATCTCTGATGTGCGTCCCATCAGTGTATGAATGTGATTTAAAGCATTGTTTTGTCTCCTTAGTGTGATTTATACATGTTAGCTTTGTAGAGCCCTAACAGGAGTGCTGTGTGAATGGGTAAATGAAGGCACAGATTGTAGTGTGAAGCGCTTTGAATATCCTGGTTGGATAGAAAGGCACTATATAGGTACAGTCCATTTACTATTTACCATCCGATGTCCAAACCACCTCAACTGGCTCTTCTTGATGTGCAGCAGCTCTACTCTGAGTCTCTCCTGAATAACTTAATAACCCAAAGTTCACCCAAACTCAGAGGGTAGGAATGTAGACTGACCAGTAAACAGGAAGTTGCCTAACAGCTCAGCTCCCTCTTCGCCACAACAGACAGGTACAGAGTCTGCAAAACTGTGGAAGCTGCACTGATCTGTCTCAATCAATCTCATGCTCCAATCTTCCCTCACTCATGAACAAGACCCCAAGTCATCTTCATGACCTACAGAACATCAGGACTGATGCTGGAGCATGTGTGCATTAAGGTGACAGAAATATTCAGAAACACCACAACAGGCCAGGGGTCGGATTTGTAAAACTGGCGTACGCACAATATGAGCCCAGAAACTTGCGTACGCCACTTTTCACGCCAAGGTTGTGATTTATAAAATCCAAACTTGACGTGAAAATGTGCGGTGCCTCACGCCAGCTTTGACCCATGCTACGCTCATTTTGGAGACGTGAAACTGCGACACAGATGGTGAAGTGAAGAATTAGAGCCACACTGTGTAATGGTCACTGTCAGATATTTAATTTACATTCAGAATCAAACTTAGATTTTTATTCAACTTTATCATCAGCTTTCTTAACAGTAATGTTTATGCTTCTGCTGCTGCTGCTGAGCCATGAGGACCTTTGAAATTAAAAAAAAACTTAAATCTTAAAAGTTCCCGTGCCCAACTCAATTCATCTGCTTCCTCCTCAGATGACCCTGACCCACAGACCCCTCCCTGACCCACAGACCCCTCCCTGATAAGCAGGACATCAAAAGTTTTGGATACACGCGCAGGGCGCATCCACCTCGCCAGTGTGAATGTTATAAACGTTTAAAGTCCGTCCTGATGCATCTCAGTAATCCAAGTAAAAAATCAAAAGGAAAAAAATTGTATAGGTCTTCTGGACGGGTTCTTCTTTAATGAAACGTTTCGTCTCTCCTCCAAGAGACTTCTTCAGTCTGAGAGTTTCAGGCAAAATTCAGGCTTTTGAGTCCTGCCTCCAGGTGACTGATACTCACGGCATTTGCCTGAAACTCTCAGACTGAAGAAGTCTCTTGGAGGAGAGACGAAACGTTTCATTAAAGAAGAACCCGTCCAGAAGACCTATACAATTTTTTTCCTTTTGATTTTTTACATGGATTACTGAGATGCATCAGGATATCTAGAATAGACGACTCAATATCAATACCTGTTGCTAAATGGGAAATGGACTTATCAGTCAACTT